TTGATATTTTGATTTTCTTTTCTTATTTAAATGTTATATTATTGGGGATTAAAGGCGCATTATGGGAGATTAGATAAAGAGTTGACAGTTCTCGCTATAATAGTTTAAAATAGATAACGTATATAGAATAAGCTGAAAATTTCAGTTTAATTTCTCCACTTAGACCCGAGATATTAGCTATTATTGTTGATTAAAGGCGCATTATGGGAGATTAGATAAAGAGTTGACATTTCTCGCTATAATAGTTAAAAATAGATAACGTATATAGAATATGCTGAAAATTAATTTCAGTTTATTTTCTCCACTTAGACCCGAGATATTAGCTTTTGAATTATAGGCTAGCCTTGATATCATTACTGAGGTCAGTAATTGAAAACAATGTCTACATTATCCATTTTTACGTTTAATTATTTTTCAAAAAATGTATTCCAATCCGCTACATATCGCAGCGATGCCATTTAGGGTTGATTATGGTCTGGATAAGTTAATTAATGTCTAATTAATAATTTACATAACATTTTAGGCTCAAAGAAAGACCTGCGATGGGCAGATTTAGCTCTTGCATAATGTATGTTTAAGCTGTGAAAATTTGATTTTTTCGAAAAATGCACATACTTGAATAGCATACAGCGTCAACAATAATATCGGGTCATGACAGTAACTCGCGGAGTATTGACAAATCATACTCACTGTCAACAAAGAGTTCGAAATGTCATTGGGTTGAACATATCATTATAGGCCTACAGATATAGTCTGACACTTCTTCTTCCGATGGGTATTATCGGCCAGGGACTATAACAGTGTACATAAAGTTTATATAGGACTATTGTCATGCAAATGCAATGGAGCGGCAATAAGCTGGGGCATTAAGTTGTATAAATAACGACGGCCAAGCTCTGTTATCAAGGTCGCCTGTCTGTCATACAGTTAGGACATTCGGTGTCGTTACAGGTTAGTATAGTAAATATTGTGGTAAAATATAACATAATTTTATTCAGTAAAATGCTCACGGACCTTACGGTACATGATTTGAAATAAATTTATATCTTAATGTGGACTTGATGATATTATTATACGTTAAAGGCTCAATACCACTCTTGTTGTAACTGAATAATATGTCCCAATCTTTATTCTGGTCAACAAATTGTACTATTTTACAATATTCCAATTAATTGATGATACAAATTTCATCTTAACACACATAATTAAAAAAATTGGAAAAATTCAACTAAATGATTTGAAAAGCCTGACGTAAAGCTTTTCAAATATTTTTGAACCCTTTGGACAAGAAAATAGGATTTAATGGATAATTTACACAACAGGTAGGACACTAACACATCTAGTACTTAGAATAAGGCTATTTTTTATTTTCTGGAGCTGTCAAGCCAGCAAGAGTGTTATTGTCCCTTTAAAGAAGTGTTCTTATAACCAAGTTAGCCGTAAACTGTGTACCTGTACAGGACACCATATTCTTTAAGGCCATTCCAAGGGATTATCCAGTCTGCCGCCCGCCCCCGATTCAGTGGAAGAGGGGTGTCTGACAAGGAAAACGACTGGTTGTTTGGACGATTTGGAAAACTTGGGTCAACCCGTGTACCTATTCACTTGAACCTAAAATAACCATTTTCAGTTTGATTTCTATGGAGCGTAGATGAAATCGCTTCTGTACAGGCCTGCTCGGCATCATAGCACATTTGTGCAGTAGGACGTTAAACCCAATGTTATTTGATTTTAAATCGTGAATTGAAAGTAGATTGATCAGTTGTATTATGGGGTAAACCCTCCATTATCAAATACTTGTTTCAAAATATTTAGCTGAAGTAAGTTTGGTTATGAAGTAATATTTTGATATTTCAAAATTAGCTTAGCGCCAGGAATCTTTTGGTCAAATTGATATAAATTTTCATTTCGACAGATAGACCAATGAAACTAACATAGTGTTATGGTAATTTGCGTTTGCTATGAGGGGGTACTGATGCAATGCGAGTGAGAGAGGAATGTCAGACAGCGGGTCTGGTATTGTGTCCCTTCTAAAAAACTGTATACACTTTCGACCCTTTAAGCGTTTTCATTACCGAAACAGACTCCCAATATGACGCCATTTCCAGATATTGTAAATCTGTTTTTTATTACCTATATTTGGAAATTAAGACCCGTGGGATTCAACATCTATGAAGTCATTAGACTAAACACGACATTTTAACCATGCAGCTTTATCTAAACTCATTTAAACTAGAGAACAAAGCGTTTTAGCAGATGAAAGACATTATATATAGTGGACTAATGTGGTGCAAGTTGTTATTAAAAACATAGATCAAATACATTATATAGGTTCAATATGGTCGGTAGAGGGAGTTGGCTTATACCGGGTGTTTACTCTTTATAATAAAATGCAAATCATTTTAATGGAACTCCAACTTCAGAAGTATGGCGGCTTAAAGGGGCGCACACAAATAGGTCGTAAACTTTGTCCGCGATATGGTTTTATAATGAAAGCGGACGTTAAATAAAATCATTGTACACATTATAGTTTCATATTAAATTGTACTCCCCCGTCTTCTATAACGAACTTTGAAGATTGGTGCCTTTTTAAATATTCTGTGATTGAATGGGATTTGACGTATTTTTGAGACACTACATCGGTCATTTGCAATGGTCAAGTGTTCAAATCGTCGAATACCTAACGCCATGGGCCTGCAAAGGAATATTGTCTAGTCTCGTTCGGATGGTTACGAAAATCCGAGTTCCCGAGTACACTTTGACAGTAGGGGATCACGGTGGCTAAGTGGGTAAGACGCTGGAAATCTAGCCTGGAGGTCGGGAGTTCGATCCCTGCATTGACCGAGAAAGTTCTGACGTGGTTTCCCCTTGTCAGGGATGCAGAACAGAGGGACGAAAAACGGAGGTTCCGTGTAGACATTGACAGTCGGAATTCGATATAAGAGTAGACCGTAGTGCCGCTGTCCGGGAAAAATTTCCCTCATAGCACACTGTATGGCGTATGCCCGTTTTCATTAGCCCAGTTAGGAGCAGAACAGTAGGACGTTAAACCCCTTTTCATATCATTTCACCGACCATTGTGTAGATTTGCGGGATTGGAACAACAATTTTATTTAGAGCTTACCGTTTAATATCCCCTAAATATACCAGGGAGAGCCCCTTTAAAGCGCTGATAGACGATTAGTCGTGCACTCATGTACTGTTGGCCAAACACCTCAAAGTAAATATATAGGTCATAAGACATTGGGTTTGAATCGGACAAATATGGGCGATAACATTTCACGTTTAACTCGCTGAATCATGTTTACTTAATCTGAAAATATATTAAGCAATACGATTAATAAGTACAAGGCATTAGCTTAACATGTTTACTTCGGTAATATCGTTGACCGGATTATGTACGTTTGTGATATGGATCAACATGTGAGACATCGAGAGAGAGAGAGAGAGAGAGGGGTTGACGTCAACTCGACACAAACTAGGTCATTTCGGGAGTAACATATGGTGTAATTGTATTTCAATAATTCGCTTGCGCGTTGGGGTCATTAGCAGTGGGAAGAAACCAGAGGACACGGAGAAAACCCACGAGGTTCGACAGGTGACCCTACTCCTTGTCACGTACAACCGGGGATTCAAAACTAAGCCAGTTGACTCAATGACCGGCCTTATGATACAGCGCGCATGTGCTAACCATTCGGCCATCCAACCCCCTGTGAGACAACAAACAAAACGAATCAACACACCGAAATAATATGGTTCACTCCCATTTCGACGACGTCCCATTTCGACTACATCCCTACGTCCCATTTCGACTATTCCTCATTTTGACTACACCTCATTTCGACTACAAATTTTATTACCCTCAAAATCCTGACCCCAACTATTCATTATAAACTGTTCCCCTGATTAAAAGATGTAATTAAAAGAGGTAATGATTCTTGCTAAAATAGCTTATTCATTATATATTATAGCTTGTTTTCTTTTACATCAAAGCACAAATATCAATTCGGAGTAAATTTTTGTTGAGTTTAATACTTGCTTATCTATATATATTTGTTATCTTATTAGAATTTCTTTATAATAAACATTGTAGGCTAATTGGGATGTTCTATAGAAGAATCTATTTTAGCTATACAGATGATATATAAGTAGGGATAATAGAGACTTTTGGCAAGCGGAATTTTCCCATCCGTATCACGTATCCGTATCTTATACGTGATACGTTGCGTCAATGTAGTTTTAGAGTTTTGGCAGATTTTCGCGTCGTGTACGTATGCGTCGATCAGCTGAGCTTAGTTCTATTACAGCATGATGGCAGATTATCTACCAAGATCACCATCAGTACTAGTCAAGTGCCTATTATAGCCGACAATTCCCAGAGGGAATGAAGTCGCTCGACAGTCGCTGAGCTAAAAAAAAAATTAATGTCGAATCTTATTTAAAATCTTCGACTTCGACTCGACTGCAATTTTTGGTTTCACTAATGTATCATTTCAGAAAGTTTATACCCGTTTACCACAGAATAAAATCATTTACAGATTTGCAGCGTCTAAAAGTAGCAAAAAAGACGGTAAAAAGACACAACAATGTTATACGGACCTTTTCCGGATGAAAGCTGTACGATACGTGCTGCCGTATCCGTGTGCCGTATCACGTATTAGAAATACACACACATTGATTACGTCACACGCAAAATCCATACGGATACGCGAAGCGGACCAGAAATTTACGCTTGCCAAAAGTCTCTAACAAAACCACCTGACCGAAAAATCTGTTATTATAAAGCTATAGTCGAAATGGGGCGTAGTTGAAATAGGAAGCTACCATTTCAATGAGTTTATTTGGAGGACTTGCTAGTTATCCAAAAATATAAAAGTTTGTACATGTATCGATACGTAGTACTGATTTTAGTGTTATTCTCATTAATCCTTTTTATTTTTCAGATTAAGGATGGGTCGTTTGATTTAATGTTATACTGATTAATCATGTCTCTTTTTCAGATTAAAGATGGGTCGTTTGAAGATCTTGATAGCTTTTCTTCAAGCGTTTTTGACATTTGTTCGTGTTCAAGCGCAACCAGCGATACTTACAACGCATGGGCGTGTGGAGGGATTCCGACAGACTGTGATGGACATTGACGTGGATACATATTATGGAATACCGTTCGCTCTGCCGCCTGTCGGAGATCTACGATTTCAACCTCCTGTCGATGTCAGACCCTGGAACGATACACGCAATGCCACAACGAGGCATAACTCCTGTCACGCCGTCATAGACACGGCATTCGGACGTCGAAAGGGTGTGGAAATGTGGAACCCTAATACACCCATGAGCGAGGACTGTCTGTATCTCAACGTGTGGATGCCTCGCGGGGTTTCCTTATCGACCAATAAACCAATGGCAACCATGGTTTGGATTTTTGGCGGCGGTTTCTGGGCCGGCACTCCGACACTGGATGTCTACGATGCGAAATATCTAGCCGCCTTTAACGATGTGATCGTAGTCTCGATCAATTATAGAACTGGACCTTTGGGATTTTTATATCTAGGCACGCAAGATATACCTGGAAACATGGGGCTACTCGATCAACAACTAGCACTGCGTTGGGTTTTCCAAAATGTAGAAAATTTCGGAGGAGATAAAAGTATGATAACATTATTTGGTGAGAGCGCGGGAGCTGCAAGTATAGGCCTTCATTTATTTAGTCCTGGGTCTAAAGATTATTTCAGTCGTATTATTTTACAAAGTGGATCTCCTTTGGCGGATTGGGTTTTGATGCCAAACAACGAAGCCGAGGAAAGGGCCCGGATGTTTTCTAGTAGCGTCGGTTGCGATGTCACTGACAAAGTAGCAGCGTTTAACTGTTTACTGACAAAAGACGCATCAGTTTTGACTGAAGGACAGTGGAATGTTGTGGAAGGTGGTTTACTAGATGTTCCGTTTCCCCCCGTGGTGGATCGAGAGTTTCTCATGGACGAACCTCGCAAGCTACTTGCTACTGGTGACTACAAGCAGACAGACGTATTGATGGGGGTGGTGAAAGATGAAGGTTCATATTGGCTTTTGTACGGATTACAACAATATTTTGGTTTGGAAAACAACACAACTTTAACTCGTTCTGATTTTATGACGTGTTTGAATACGTTGCTCTTCGGAATGGGCGAGAAAGTGAAAGAGGGTGTTGCTTCTTTTTATGTGGATGGTGTACCACCAGTGCTTAGAGACTCATATCGCGATATCTTAGACGATATATCGGGGGATAACGTATTTAAATGTCCCGTCATAGAATTTGGAAATATCATTTCTAACCGTAGTAATGTTTATCTGTTTACGTTTAATGAAAGGGTGGATTCATTGCCGTGGCCGGAATGGATGGGAGTACCTCACGGATATGAAATAGAAGTAGTCTTCGGTCATCCACTAAACCCTGCGTTGCAGTATACTCCTTCGGAAATTGAACTGAGTAAAAAAACGATGAAATATTGGACAAATTTTGCAAAAACGGGGTAAGTTCACATGTAGTTCTAATTTTAAGGGATAACTACACAATAGTTAAAGGGCCGAACAAACACTGCTTGAATACTATAGATATTGGTCCAGAAGGACGATCATTCCAACAGAAATCATCTGGAGGTGTTAGAATAGGGTATTCGTGAGATAGTATAAACGATGTTTGAATACAATTAGATATCCGATTAATATAATATGGGAAGCCATGCACTGTAAAGAAAAGGAACAAGTTGGCTTCCAATCTATCTGATGAAAATACAGATCTATATTTCCTTTCGTTTTTTAACACTTTCGATAGCTTCATTGCATTAAGATCTGAACTGTTGTAATGGGTGGTCGAGTCAGGGGTCATAAAAGCGACTTTTGACCATATGGTGTCAGTCATTTTATGATCAATCAGCGTCTGTGTTCCACTTGTCTACCCACAATTCAACAGACCATTTGATTGGCTACTCTTTCACATCACCAACGCTTCCTGATCCTGGTGTAGACTTATCTGCGATATCACCCAAGGTGGTTGCGGACGTTAAGTCTGACATCAAGTCAAATGAAATCTTGAGGTAGCTAAGACAAGTGAAACAAAATTTTGAATATAAAAAAAAGAAACGAAATAGAGTCTGTTTTAATACAAAATGTCTCGAATTGTCCGTTTTGTAGAAACCATAAAATGACACCGTTTGATTCGAGATATATAAATATTGTTGTTGTTTCAGAGATCCAAACGGGTTAAACCTGGCTGTATGGCCGAGATATAATGTCACATCCCAGGATTACGTTATTCTCGACTCCAGCACGACTAACTACATACAGCACGGTCTGCGCACTTCACGGTGTTCCTTTTGGTCTTCCATAGTTCCATTAATACAGAATACAGGTTTGTAACCATGGTATTTTGGGTGGCGGTGCTAACACTAATTAAAAACAAACAGTCCAGGTAAACACAGCCAGTTATTGTTCAAATCTTGCATGCTGCTTCTCAACAATGCTTCGCATGATGGTGTTTAAGATTTAAACCGAAATACAATTTAAGCCTACATATTGTTAGTGCACGTTGAATACCCCCTTACAGCTGTAACACAAATACAAACACGAAATGACACTGTACTCTCCCTGTTCCTGCAGTTATTGATTGTCCCTTGGTTTTATCCCCCCCCCCCCATCCCCTGCTGATATCTGTTGCCCTCGTGCTTTCTTTCACCTAGCCCAGCCGATCGACCCAATTAGCTGTCGTATCACGGTGGATGTTGTGTGTAAGGCAGAGTAATCTATACTTTTGTTTACAAATATCTGGCATTGTGTACTGTAATCAGATGTAAGGGATACATATTACTATTATTATAATATTATTATTATTACACCAAGACCATAAACCGCGTTATAAATTTCACCTAAATTCAGAATATACTGGTTCTATTTTTGAATATAAAAAAGCCTATTTATTTATTTCAGTTGATATATGCTTGATAACGACTTTTGAAATCTAGTAATAATAATAAATTAAGTGTTATCCATAAATATAAGAAAGCATATATCGGATTTTTGTAGGAGTTTTATCCCGCTCAAATAAATTATAAAAGAACGATTTGCTTCAATTAATCTAATAGGCTTTGTCATCGAATAACAACCCACATAAGTGTCAAATATCGCCTATAATCGAGTCTCCACAGGGGAAATTATGTGTACACTTGAAACAAAAAGGTTTAATAGAACGCTAATAATTTGTAATTTTCACTATATATTTCAGATGACAAAACGACGAAACCACCGGAAGTCTGTACCAATGGAACGTCTGCTTATTATAGTATTGCATGTATATCTTTAATTACCATTTTTACATTGTACATAGGATTTTAACATTTAATTATCAGTTAAATTTTGGTTTAGAAAATAAACAGGGTTCGTCCGGGAAAGTCAAAAATTTAATTGCATAATTCCATGTTAATTACACCACCGTCCCAAATAAATGTGAAATAATATCAAGCGTTTTAGAAGTGATATCAGATCAGGCGTTTTCAATGAGGTATCATGTGTTCTATAAGTAATATTAGGTAATATATAAGCGGTATAATATGATATACAGCGTTTTAGAAGTGGTATCAGATGTTTTCGAAGTGGTATCAGATGTTCTCGAAGTAATATTAACTAATATAGTAGTGGCATCAGTGATGTTAGGTAATATATAAGCCGTATAATATGTTATCGAACTGGTATCAAGTGTCCGTGAGTGATATCAAGGGTTCTATAGGTGGTATCATGTGTTCTATAGGTGTTTTCATGTGTTCTATGGGTGGTATCGGGTGTTCTAGAAGAGGTATCATGTGTTCTATAAGTGGTATCAGATATTCTATATGTGGTATTATGTGTTTTAGATATGGTAAGCACACACAGTCTCTTGCCTCACAAGCTATAATATTTATGATTAAAAAATGGAATGAAGCATGCAATATTTTTTATGACAGAATCAACATATATATATTATTATAATTTAGCATGTATAATTTGAATTTCGTGGGTTTAATTTTAAAGCGGCGATTGTTCGTACTTGGTTTTTTTTATTTATTCCATAAATAAAGATTTAATTTTATTCTATTTTAAAATAAATATACATGATTATAGATGGTTGTAGTTCAAAATAACATAAATATACATAAAAATGGTTGTATTTTATCATCAATAGAGATTGAAGCTGATATGGTTCTATAGATATAGATTTAAATTTACATGGTTCTATTTTATCATAAAAATATATTTAAATTTTCGATATGGTTCTATTTTCTCATAAATATGGATTTAAATTATTTTTCGACGTGTTTCTATTTTGTCATAAATGTAGATTTAAATTTACGATATTTTAAAATTACGACAGGGTTCTATTTTATCATAGAAATATATTTAAATTTTCGATTTGGTTCTATTTTATCATAAATATAAATTTACAATCACGGTGTGGTTATATTTTAACATTACGATAGGGTTCTATTTTATCATCAGTATAGATTTAAATGCACGACATGATTCCATTTAATCATCAGTATAGATTTAAATTCAAGACACGTCTCTATTTTATCATAAATATTAATTTATATTTACACTATAGTTCTATTTTGACATAAATATAGATTTAGATTCACGACATGGTTCATAAAGATTCACGACATGGTTCTATTTTTTCACAAATAAACATTTAAATTTACGATATGGTTGTATGCTATCATCCACATAGATTTAAATTTACGATATGGTTATATTTTATCATACACATAGATTTAAATTTACGATATGGTTATATTTTATCATACATGTACATAGGTATAAATTTACGATATGGTTGTATTTTGTCATAAATATGGATTTAAATTTACAATATGGTTGTATTTTGTCATAAATATGGATTTAAATTTAGGATATGATTGTATTTATACATTACGAGGAAGGGGGGGGGGGTCTATTTTATCCTAAATATAGATTTAAATTAATGACGTGGTTATATTTTATCATAAATTTACGATATGGTTCTATGTTATCCTAAATATAGATTTAGATTTAAATTTCCGATATTGATATATTTTATCATAAATATAGATTTAAATTTAAGATAATTATGCTTATAATTCATTATAAATATTATAGATTTAAATTTACGATATGGTTCAGTTTTAACATTGAAATAATTAAATTAATGGATGACTTTTAAGGCATTTTTCATGTATATTTTTTAAAATAATAAGACAGAATATATATTGTAGCAATGAATTCAGTTTAACCTCTATCATACTTCAAATTTAATTACGGAGTTCTGAAACTCACAGATGGAATCAGTAATATAAGTTTGAAAATTTATTCATGCATTCACCAATTTCGTTTCACTGGAAAGAAATATAAATATATGTCTATAGTCTTAATACTATTTTTATTTTATTACGAGAAATGTGAATTATTACATTTTCAAATGTAATGTGATATCTAGTGTAGGTAGAATAAGCATGCATAACTAGTATACACGACAAATCTCAGATTTAAATATCTGGACATTTTATTGTAATTTTGAAATGTTGCCAGAATGGGAGTACATGTACTTTCATTTTGAAGGATTGAAAGTTTCTATTTGGATTTTTTTTAAACGGTTGATTTGAAATAATTAAGTTGTTATTTGAAAAAAATTCAATTGTTGATTTGAAAAAAAAATCAATTGTTGATTTGAAAAAAAAATCAATTGTTGATTTGAAAAAAAAATCAATTGTTGATTTGAACAAAATTAAATTGTTGATTTGAAAACAATTCAATTGTTGATTTGAGATAATATATTTTTGATTTGAATAATCCAATTGTTGATTTGAAAAAAGAAATCAATTGTGAATTTAATATAATTCAACTGTTGATTTGCGAGTCGATATGAAATAATGTGATGGGGTTTTACGATATGGATGTCTTTCTGTATATAAATCTTAGATGCATGCACTATTGAGATATATCTGATTGTGATTTTAGTTAATTAATGCATTTGAATTTAGAGTTTCAGCGTCCATAAATGTCACTTTGTGTATCCGTCTGTAAATCCCTGATACGTCATATTAAGCAATACGAATCACTAATGATGAATCTCGAATAATGGTTCAGTTGTGTTCAGTAATTCCGAAGATATGTGGAATAGAAATGTCATCGATCTATGCTGCTCGCTATACAATAAGCCCGTCGCCATTTTGTTCCAGACGGGTAATTTAATGATAGCTCCGTTTTAAATCCGATGACGTCCTATAACGGATATTATATAGCGTTGGTATATGGATTTTGTTTTCTTAATTGAATATTAAATAATCAATCTGAGTACATATCAGCTTGGATTAAGCCGTGAGAAAATTGAAATTTTAGCGGCAAATACCATTGGCGCATCGTTACTTGAATACAAAGTCTACACGTGGTTGACCAGGCGTTTTAACGAGTAATGTCCTGAACCGGATCTAGTATAATCCCTACACCCGATATCACAGACAATGGTCTTACTTCGTTTTAGTATATTCTGTGCACGCGCATGTAGGGTCTTGCCAATCTGTTTCACAGAGAATTGCGAATCTAGTAATATCTCTGTCAAAGATGACTGCCTTATACACGTGTCGTCACAGCACGCGGCGTCAATCATTGGCTGAATGGCGCGTGCATTGTTTACATAAGACGTTACTGCTTCGGGCAGAATGCTGCCTTTTAGTCATTTTAATACCCATTTACACTAAATAGGAAATAATTTTTACCTACAAATACGTCAAACGCCTTTATTTATTTTTCCAATACATAAAAAAAAAAATGTTTTGGGAATTTAATTTGTCGCAGGAAAAAAGTTAATATTTCTGGCTCATTAAGTCGCATCGATGCCATCCTTGTCAGTGATTGTAGCGGCCTAGCGAAAATTCACCGCTGATCAGTGTGGGGTCTTGCCTGTGGGAAACCGGAGTATTCGGAGTAACCGACGAGGTTGAGAAGCCGCCCCACCAAGTCACATACGCTCACTCCACGGAATGAAACCACGGCCGTGCCTCAAGAGGTGACAACCCAGTTAGAGCGGGATACTCTAGACCACTGGGCCATCTCAACCCACTAGGTCACAAAAATATATATGTAGATAAATTGGTGCTAAATTAAATGTGCCTTAATGTCTCAGATTTTTACCATTTTGTTAGCTTTTGTGTGTTTGTTTTTTTTTAAAATAAAATAATAAATATGACATTTTAATCCATGAACATCTGGTTAATTTTAATTTCTGTTGTTTTAGTGGAGCGACTAACGTGTTATTTCTACGGGAATCGTTCACTTTGTGATAAAAGTATCAAACTTTATCCGGAGTAGTGTTATACATATGAAGGATCATAAACAATATACCCCCAAACAACGACGTGGCCTATTGGCCGTCATCTTAAATTTCAAAATGCTCACCAAAATAACCTATTGTTGTTCAATTCTCCAATGGTTTCCTACTTTAGGTGTTTTAACTAACTACACATTCATATCGGGGGAGAGAGAAATGGGGTTTAACGCCCACTCGACACAAACTAGGTCATTTCGGGACTAACACATGGTTCAATTTTATTTCAATAATTAGCTTGCGCGTAGGGGTCTTTAGCAGTGGGAGGAAACCGGAGGACCCGGAGAAAACCCACGAGGTTGGACAGGCGACCCTACTACTTGTCACGTACAACCGGGGAATCGAAACCCCGCCAGTTGAATGAGTGAAATGGAGTTTTATGGCACGTCAGCTCCAACCGGGCTATATGGTGCCAAACATATGGTGAGATGTCCAATGGTATGCGGATCTTTAATGTGCCGCCGAAGAACCTCATCCTATCTGGCTCACCATACAATACTGCACTCCTTGTTGGTAAGCCTGCAGTCCCCATTAAAACATCGACAACACTTTGCCTTGTAAGAACGATATCGAGGTAATTCAGCCGGAGATTTAAATTAAAGATACATTATGGGAGATTCGGTAATGAGTTGGCAGTTCTCACTATAAAAGTTAAAAACTAGATAATGTAAAGGCAATTTGGTGAAAATTTCATTCAAATTGATCCACTATGAACCGAGAACTAAGCGACTGAAATTCCCATAAGCCTCGGTCATCATTACTAAAGTCAGTACGATAAACAGCATAGTCTCGATTATCCATTTAATCGTTTAATCGAGAAGGAAAGTTATGCAGTAAATCGGCTTACAATCCACTAAAGATCGCAGGCTAGCGCTGCCATCTAGAGTTGATTATGGCCTGGATAAGTTAATTAATGTCTAATTAATAATTTAGATAACATTTCAGGCCCAAAGACAGACCTGAAATAGGCAGATTTAGCTCTTGCATAATGTATGTTTAATTTCTGATACAAAACTTTGCCTTGCGAGTACCATCTTGAGATAACGGAGATTTTAAATTATTCTGGATACAAAATTTAGCCTTGTGAGCACGATATAGAGATCGTCACACGTTTAAACTGATATTGAGATAATTTTGACGTAGGTTTCTATTTACTTCTGATACAAAATAAAAGCCATGAATTATAAAACTCATATAACAAACACAGTTGACGTATAAATTACTATAAGTTTACATTTCGTGTAAAGTCAAAGGTCACATCTGAAGCGGGTTTTTGATAAATGGGTGATATATATAGTTTAAAATGGTCAATTAAGTGTAATTTTATAATTAGAATAATAAACGTTTGTTGTATTAAGGGATGATACGGAAGGAACAAAGGTCATGAATTATAACAAGGTGACGTGCTTTATAGTGCAGTAGCGGACGCTGGATATTTGGTGGGGGTTCGGGGGTTCAGGAGAGTGGTGCTATTCCTCCGATAAAATTTTGAAAATGAAAAATACACGTGTCAGGGGTGATTTGTGGCGCAAATCTAGCCCCAAATTACATTCAAATTCACCAGCAAGGAACTAAATATACTGCAGCCAATTAAAAGCTCAAATTAACACTTTTCATAGGAACAGAATAATGATTTTGATATATTAATATTTTTAGTATCAGGCAGAGATTGTAAGTTGTTATATAACATACAGCCAATTCATTAACCCGGGTGTTAACTCGTTATCATGTGTTGGTGGGATGAGTATCTGAATGGTCTATATGTTCCGCTGTGGAACATAGGGTCTGTTCGAATCTCGGAAGTGGCCGAGAAGAACCATGGGATTTTTCACGCCTGATGCCCACTTGTCATGGAC